TACTCAATTTGATTCTATCTATTTAGACTTCAGTAAAGCCTTCGACAAAGTCCCACATAATCTTCTGCTGTTGAAGCTACGTTCATTAGGTATTAGTGGTAATTTGTGGCAGCTATTGCATCATTATCTTAGTGATAGATCTCATTGTGTGGCTATCAATAACACTTTATCTCCTACACTACCAGTTCTATCAGGAGTACCTCAGGGGAGTATATTAGGCCCTTTACTCTTCATAATATATGTTAATGATTTACATTCATTGCAAATTTATTCTCGCCTGCTCATGTTTGCAGATGACACTAAGTGTCTTAAGTCTGTCTCTTCTCCATCTGACACAGTACAGATTCAACGTGATCTAAATGAGTTATCACAATGGAGTAATACTTGGTGTCTACCATTTAATGTAACTAAATGTTCAGTCGTACATTTCTTTTCTACTTCCTCTCTTCTTTCCCCTACCTATTATCTAAACTGCTCTCCTGTCTCTACAGTTGTGTCCCAAAAGGATTTAGGGGTTCTATTCTCGGAGGATCTGTCATGGTCTTCTCATTACAAGCAGTTAGCTGCTACAGCATATAAAACACTAGGTCTTCTACGGAGAACTTTTAGTTCTGCTGTTGATATACCTACTAGGAAGTTGCTATATACATCTTTAATTAGATCAAAGCTAACATATGCTTCTACTCTCTGGCGTCCTCATTTTTTAAAGGACATTTTATTTCTAGAAAGAATACAACGTCGAGCTACTAAGTTCATTTTAAACGATTACCATTCTGATTACAAAACTAGACTCATTAAATTAAATATGTTACCCCTCATGATGACATTTGAACTAGCTGATATTTCCTTTTTTCTAAATAATTTTCACTTCTCTGATTCACCTTCTAACTTTAATGCTTCAAATTATTTCTCTTTTTCGTCTACCTCTACTCGATCATCTACATTTCACAAGTTATCTTTTAATTTTACTTCTCATTACTCCTCACATCACACTTTTTTCACCCTCTTCCCTCGTTTATGGAATTCTCTTCCACCTGTAAAAATCTCTCTATCTAAAGAAACTATTAAATTACACGTAAAGAAAACTTTTTGGAATCACTTTATTGTTCATTTTGACCCTAATAATGTTTGTTCTTATCACTATGTATGTCCTTGCTTTTCTTGTGCCAATCTTCCTGTAAACTCTATGTATTCCTGATTTGTTTATGTTAGTAGTTATTTCATTTTATTTTTATTTTTATTATTTCCTTATTTACTATTCTTATTTTCTCTTTTTTTTTTCTCTCTCTCTCTATCTGTTTAATCTTTTTTTTGTTTGGCGGTCAGCTCAGGAAGCTGGCTGTCCATCTGTATACATTTGTATACAGTAAAGTTATTTAAAGTAAAGTAAAGTAAAGTAAAGTCTAATTTTTATTTCAGGTCAGTAATTTTATAATAATAATTATTAATGATTTTTATTTTATATGTTTTGTCTTTGTTGGTACATTTAATTGGATTATTGTGTCTTTTTAGTTCACAATAATAAATGTATTGATGCATGTACTTTATGAATCATACAAAATCTCCCTTGATGTTCTGTATAGATCATAATTTTGTAGGAGTAAAATTTTGATGGATTGCTACATTTTTGATGATTTGTGGGACAATTTGTAACCATGTGCCATTGAGCATGCACATAATGGTTTAAAATAACATGTTTAATTAATTTTTAAAATATCTATCAAAATGCAGAAATCACTTCTCCCAATATAACAAGCTATACTGTATTTATTAATATTATTTATTATTATTATATTCTCCTACAGTTATTGTTATGATGTAACTCATTCCCTTCAGTTCCAAATGAGGACTTCAGAGGGTCCTATGCCTCCGCCCTGTCTTAGGTTCATATGGAATGAGTACTTACTGGAGAACCTTGAGGGCTCCGTACACTCAAGATGGATACTCCATATAATATGTGGATTCATGTCACAAATCAGTGAGTAATGAATGACCATGCACTTGAATTAAGGAACTT